GCACGCGAAAGGTGATATTCCCCTGGAGGGTGTTCAGGAGGAAGTGGACACGTTCACATTCGAGGTCATTTCATGTTATGTCGTTTCATCGAAACTCTTATATTTGCGCTCCTCTCTCAACAGCATTCATGGGGATTCGTTTCAATTCGGGGTCAGTCTGGAGAATGGAGAACCTAATTGCAGGGTCATGACACAACATCAGCCAGTATGAACTGGTTCCTTCATCTGATGGGAGTTCATCCACAAATCCAAGCGAAAGTACATAAAGAGATCGATGAGATTCTCGGTGAAGGTATGAAAACTCATTGATCTGGTTTTCGATCATTGATGAGTTTCATTGATCACAGTTGTGAAAGTTTGATCGTAATGGTTGACGAGCAATGGTGCATTGACTTTGATTGCAATTAAGCTATCGTATCGATGATTATTTACAGAGGATCGACCGATTACATACGAAGATCTTGGTAATCTACGCTACCTGGAAGCATGTCTGAAAGAAGCGTTGCGTTTGTTCCCGAGTGTGCCCATTATAGCTCGTCTACTAACAGAGGACACTAAAATAAGTTTGTCTTTTCGTCCATGTGCAATCAACTAACATCTACCTCCATGAAGTTTGTTTGCTGTGCAGAAAGAGCAGCTGGATGCTTATTCTTTTGAAGTAACGTCTAAAATAGTCAAATGTCAACAAATAATGTTAACTCATCTGTATCCCTAGATTCCGGGAAACTGGATGAAATGATTGAGAATAAATATCTCGAATTAATTCCAGCACAGGATCACAGATTGACTGTGATCTACACGTCGATCGTCCGTTTCCTAATATTTTCACTATGTTTTCAACTGTCGAACTGTTTGTTTCTCACCATGAAATTAGTAGATTGCGAGCGTTTTACTGTGAAGTAAAATGTTTTTTTTTTGCAGAGGATCGGATTTTGCCGAAAGGGATGGGCGTTGTTATTAGTCCATCAATGGTACATCGTGATCCCAAATATTGGTCAGATCCTGAGGTGTATAATCCGGAGAGATTTATCGATAGTGATTTCAAACAGCCATATTCCTACATTCCATTCTCAGCTGGTGCTAGGAACTGCATTGGTAATTGAAATAGACGAAAATTTTCCCGTTGAATTTTTTCACTCATCTAAATAGCATCACTTTTCAATTAGATGACTTTTGATTTCACTTGAAAGTTCTGTGTTTAAAGAGTGCCATTCTGCGTGCACGCTACTTTTATGGCTGTGATTCGCGTTAGATAAGGCTGTTTTGGCTATCATTTTTTCATAAAATCGTTCATTGTATCACGAATTCAAGAGATCAGAACGAACAGAATAATTTACATTCAAGAAATATGCGTCATCCTCAATTACAGGTCAACGTTTCGCGATGATGGAAGAGAAGTGTGTATTAGCCACATTACTACGTCGTTTGAAAATAAAGTCGAAATTAAGGACCGATCAAATGCGTGTTTCAGCTGAACTGGTGATCAGACCGATGCTCGGAAATTATATCCGTTTTGAGAAACGTTCCTACGGTGATTATGTGCAGATCGCTTGAAAATTTCAGTGTTTTTGATTGTTCACTACCACTCTATCATATCGTCTATCTGTGGTTTTGTTTTCTTTTCCTCGACTTTCAGCTAGGTCCGTAGCCAGAGTTTCACCTTTCAAAACGATAAATTTTTCATGGTTGAGAAGAACCAGAAGTGTTCAGCGATGTGTAATTCACTTAGCTAGTAATCGTCAGAAATTGAACTGTCCATTCAACCAACCGACAGTTCGGTCAAATTATCTGACTGAACTGTGAGCATCGACTTTCCCAATTACTAAGTGACGATTCTGAGTTTTAATTTTCGATAAGCATTTGCTCACTCAGTTGTTCTCTCGAATACCATTTAAATGCTCATAGCTAAACTTCTGGTGATTACGCGACCTCTTGTGCTTTAAACGTTGTCTTCAAAGCATTTTCGATCGAATCGATTCCTCACGATTGCCAGGAATATGTAATATTCCTTTCTCGTTGCTAACTGATATCTTAGCCACCGCATTTTCACAATCTGTTCTTCTAATGATATATATCGAATATCTTCTGAAAATGTTAAAGAATTCTTAACTGATTGACCGAAGCGAAATATTCAGGAAGGACCATTTAATACAGTGGTTCTAACGTTAGATATCCTTATGAAAAACACACCATCACAACGGCGTACTGTCATCATAAACAACTGAATGAAATACTAATTTCCCGACTCCTTCCATTACTCCAAAATCGTGATTTCATCCTCTATGAAAACCACTGGCTAAACGAAACATCGAAATTTTTGCAGTGTATTACTACCGGTACTCCTTACTGCTTTTATTGCTGTTAACCCATGTGATAATCCTGTTGTGTGATTTATCGTTCACAACTTATCTTTGTTATCGATTTCAAAGCAATCTTCTACTCAACATCTTTTAGTAACTTCTTTTGTCTTCAATAAAAGTTTCATCAAATATGTTTCATTTATAAGGGCATTCAAGCGATATCATTCTTTATTCAGTTGTTTATTAGCCCTTCTTTAGCAACATCCTTGCAGATCTATCAATATTCCACATCAACAGCATCTTCCTTGCTGACCAAACGAGTACATCACAATTCACATTAGAAATATCTGTTAGATAAGATTCACGGGAACACGATTGAATGAATGAAACATCTAGGAAATTTCTAAAAAGAAGAACTTCTCAAATCACCTTCAGAATTGATACGTTATTCCTTCTCACTGAACCAACATGAATAGTGACGATTGATAGACATTGGAGTAGCGGTGGACAACACCGCACTACTTCGCTATTATCGAAATAGCTATTCTAGTAATGCGACTGTTGCTTAGCTATTAGCCAAGAGAGAAATAACGTGTTATTCCCCACCTCTGCATTTGAGCGTTACAATATTTGAATATCACAGAGACAACATATCACATACGTATATCATGTAGTATGCATTCAGCTAAAGTCGAAATGTACTATCAAAAGCAAATATTCAAATGGGTACAAACTAATGAAAATATCATAAACGGCAATTTAGAGCATTTGATTTTCTTTAGACGATCGTATTTCTGCACGAATATTTTAGCGTCCATTGGACCGTCATCATGCTCGGCTATTAAGAAAGGTTGATTGTTCGCATCACAAGGCCAATATCCAGGAAGTCTCTGCAAGCACTCTTTAACATGGTATTACTTTGTTTTTTTGATATTCAGTGATTCTCACTTGATCATGACCGAATGAAGACCAAAATATACGAATCATATTTGAGTTCATGAATTAGAGGCATTCTAAACCTCACTACATTCCGCAATCGAAGGATTTCAAGAATATATAAATTTAAACGAGGATCGGAACTTTATTTTTAGATATTTCCTTCAACGGATAATTTTGACGTGTTTTTTGCGGTAGTTGAAACGTTTTGCAGAGCACATATTTTTGCATAAATCAATATTAGCATTACATCGAGGTGAATAAAGGCGAAGGAGCGTCGCTCGTCAATTCTTTTAACATTAACCAGTGACGGAATCAAACCCGTGAAGAGTAAGTCTTCAATATGAATCCACGATGTTTTATTAACATTCCTTAATATTTTACCAACTGCATCCGATGTGACCAGATAGAAACCGCCAGCAACGTAGTTAGGGTACTTGCTGCGTTGATATCTCTCTACAGTAACATACCTAATTGTAAGCAAATCATTAGCTCATCTCTGAAAATTTTAATTGATGCGATTCTACGAACAAGCATTCCTCAGTCCTCAAGGGGATTTCTAATAATTCAGCAGTGATAGCATCTGACCGCAATTTCGTGTTGGACGAAATTCGACCGAACGGACATTTGCGACCGACTTAAAATTACATCATTCCGACAGTCGAGATTCCGACGGACCTTCCAAACTGTCCGATCGGAATCCGACCATCGGGATTCCGACCGAGATGACCGGATTTTTCCGACGATCGTCGGTCGGATGCCACCACTATAATTCAGACGCCTGGTATGGTGATGAAGCAGAAATTATTGAAAAATCAGGATGAGATCACTAACCATTTGTTTTGAGGATTCCTTTTTGGTATAGCACCCTCATAGAGATACCCAAAAATTGAATTTTCACCCCGGAATCGATCCAGTGAACTGACCAATCGATCGGTATCAATCACCACGTCGTCATCGGTTTTCGCCAAGTAGAGCGCATTTTTGCAAAAATATTCCTTATATTGAAATAGTGAATGAGTCTGAAAGTGATAGTCCGCATTCAACTACAATATTCAGATTACCTCTGAAGTGTTGTCTTCACTTTCATGGGTTGAAACTCGTGGTAGAGATCGAACATTCAGGGGACGTTTGAACTTTCAATGGTTTTATGCTCTTTGATATACTTGCTTCATTACTGACCTTCAACGGAAGATTTGAATATGTTTCTCGGATTGTTGTTAACAGAATATCATCATGCAGCTCACTCTCATCTAAAACACTTTTCAATTCAACAGCATCGCTTGGATATCCCACAATGAAAATCACCACTATCGTTCTGTTCTGAAAACAAATGATTCTATCGATGTCATGCCGATTTTATCTATAACTTTCACTATCATCTAGCAAACTTGTTGATTGACACGTATTAGATTCAGATGGAATCGAGATTATTAATGCAAAAATGGACATGAACGATAAGCATATGAAAAAACCTTGACATGACATGACCTTGACATGCTCCGAGTTGTGGAGATCCGCATAAGTGGTCCGTATTGTGTGTCTCAGTTGTTTATTGACTGCGCTACTGAGAACTCCAATTAGCACCTTAGAACCTGAAATTAGTTGCAGAAGTACAATGATTTTCAACTCGTCGTCTTGTGAGACGAACAAAAAATTAGGAGAGAGATGGATTTTTAGATTGTTTGGTGCTTATTTGTGCTTAACGTGAATAGTGCAATGTTTATAGGATAGACAAGTTCCGTTTTCGGAATAATCACTTATTCTTTTCTGTTACTGCAGGTAACTTCGGTGGCACTTAACTAGGATATCAACAATGATGATGATGACGGTAATATTTGTAGTAAGGATAAAGGTGAGCGGCATTATTGGATGATAAACGAACGTTGACAGTGGCAATGCGACGGATATCGAATAATTTCGTAATGTATTGCTTCATCAAGGAAGTCAGCAATCCATTCCAGTGTTCCATTTGATGTTTTGTTAACATTTGGACAACTCACTTCTGCAGTTACATCTTGCAGTCTGGAATAGTTGTTGGTTCGTAGATGGGGCACGACAGATGGTCGGTGTCTCGTGTACTTTACTAACAAAATGATTATTTGTGAGAATTTCTCTACATTTTATTTTTACATATCGTTTACATGATCACACATCGAATGCTACTACAAATCGCCATTGTAGAAAGGGTTTTAGCATTTGACTGCTCAACGTATTATCTACGTGGTATTCATGCGTGCTTTAACCTCAAATTTCACCAGCAGAATTGTGTTATTGCGAACAAAATGGTACGTCAGAGGGAATATAATGCAAACACGATCAATAGTAGTAGAACAAACTTTGACGAGTTATCACTGAACAATGTATCGATGAAAGAGGTATCTTGTGAAGCTGACCTTTCAAATCGAATTGTTGTACTCAATCGAAATGAGATAATCAAAGTGAGGCAAATACCTGCAATGAAACTGTNTCTGCAAGAGGACATCAAATAATCGTCCTAAACCAAAGAAATGTTTGTATGACGAAACTCAACTATTCATCACACATTTGCTACAGATGTTTCCTGATGAACTTCTTCACGGTTCATGTGATATCTTTCACTCTGCTACAAACGCTCATTAGAATAGTTTGAAGAAAATATCATTGCGCGACTAATATACTTGTTAACAAAAGCACTGAGATACCGGTGAGTATAGTTATCAGAAATGCTTTGCGTTTCGTACACAGGAGAGCCATTTAATTGAGGTGAGTTCTAAAATTGCGTGATCCTTTCATCGAATAACCATCAGTGGGCACAGATGTTCATGTGATCTTTGACTGAAGAACAAATAGCAGTATGCGCTTGAACAGCTATGCATAATCATAATGAGTATGAAGTAAACAATTTTTAGAGACACACATGTGGTTTCTCCAGTCAAATGGCAATTGAGGACGAGAACAGTTGCCGAAAATAGCCGCGGCTCAAAAAATGATCGGGGACGGGGAGTTCCGATGAGAAAAACTCGATCTCATCCCCGTCCTCGACTCCCCGAAATTCCACGAAGATGTAAATTTGGAACTAGAGTCAGCAGGACCTTGAAAACGTGACTGTTTGATGGAAAAGCATCTTTAGGCTGAAAAAGCGATAATGGCGAAGGCACAATGCAATTCTACCTACAGTGTTTCTTCCAGTCACGCGAGAAAATAGAGTATAACAGCAAAATCCCTTTGACAAAAACAAAAGAGATCATTGAACTTTGCAATCGTTGCTTATCAATCGCCTTGAATAGAACTGTCAATGCTTCTCGGGGGCAGAGACAGTCCCCGAGAATGGCCACGGCCTAAAAAAGGTCGGCAACGGAGACGGGGATTCGGGAACGGAGACTTCAAATTCGGGGCTCTCCGCACAATACTAATTTAATACAGCGATTCAAGCAAATATTTGAGTTGATTTTATAGAATTTAGCAAATCCACAAGCGGTTGGTTATGCGTATGAACACGCAAATTTCTTAAATGACCACCGCTCGGTTGGGTTACCACTTTGAGTGGCAATATTTCGATCTGAATTTGAGTGAAACTTTGTGTGAAATTCATACTGAAAACATTGGTTGTCGTGTTGTATATGGAATATTGTCGAAATGTACCGCACGAAATGAATGAATGCACTCACGCGAGCGAAATATTCAAATGCAACTAGGATTCTCGCCAAGCACTTATCAATTTGTTTGCTCAACAATGCAATAAAATCAAGTCAATCAATCGACAAGGCATGATCAGCAAATAATAAAGAAGCATCATTGAACTTTGCAATCGTTGCTTACCAATCGCTTTGAATAGACCTATTCATGCTTGTTGACTGGAGCTATCATTTGCTTTATCACCTCAACTCTTGTTTGACCGAATGACTTCAAACGATAGTTGAATCAGTTCTCAGCGTTAATATGTGTGAAAAAGTTGTACATAAGCAGGCAATTTTGCTAGAGTTTGTCTCTTAATTAAGAAATTGATTCTTTATGATTTATCAAGATCGATCGATGGAGAGCAAAATATCAGTGAACAGCCGCAAAAGGAATTTCGGTTTTTCCTAACGTGCTTTCATGATTGTTTTTACGATGCTGTTGTGTTGTGTTCATTTGCTTAAGTGAATATTGTCCATTCACATATTATTCATTCTAACATCAAATTCAGCAATATTATTCATTATGAACGAACAGTGATAGATTTGTTGTCGATGAACTTCTCTTATTTGTTTTGATGAACCTCTCGGAAATAACGATGAACAGCAAAAATATGACCGAATTGAGAGACAATCTGTGAGCGATGACATAAATGATAGTAAAATGAACACTCATCACGACCATACTAACGAGGACATCTCCGGTGAGTTATTGTGATATGTTAAGTTAAGTGGCAATAATTCTGTTGAATGAAAATTATGAACTGAGCATCTAAATTCCTCACAAACAATTGTTCCCCATCCCCTGCAATGAGCATCATTACGCATGTATTATTCAGGAGAATTTCCCATTATCCTTAATATCCACCAGTTCAAAGAGTTAGACGGGATGTATCCATATGAAACTAACTGCTCATGTTCGCATTTATTGCGTTCGTTCCTAACTGATTGCATGACTATTTTCCTGGTGATTAGAGCTGACGGCTTATGGACTGTCAAACGATGGTGTGTGATGCGATGATTCTCGCATAGCTCATAGCTATGGCAACACCTGCTTGATTGCTCGTCAGTCCAATTCGCCACTACGATGAATTGGAATTCAATATGTTTTGATCTGTTCGATGAATTAGTTTCATCTGAACCCAGTTCTTGTTGAATAGCTGTCTTAACTAATAAACTCATGTGACTCGTCAACGCGATACATTTGATGTGAATTTCATCAGTGAATTAGCACCAATATTTACATATGTTGCAGTGAAGGAATTTTGCATTTTTGTTGTTTGAATTCATTCCACATGTTCATTTTTGTCCTCAACAATGATTAATTGTTTGATTTCATTTCACATGTTCATTTTTGATCTCAACGGTAATTAGTTGCTCGATTTCTTTTCTTTTCTCCGCCTCTTCTCGCCTGACTGACTTTCGCCCGCAAAATCATGCAAAAACTATCAATTGAATTTAATCAGACAACAATCTTGCCTTTTATCTGCTCATCTCATGGCGATGCGACGCTGAATCATCCGATATAATGAGAATAAAATTCAAATGTTTATTCAGTTTGCTTAATTATATGATCATAATGCAATATGCTGTATTAAGTAGGATAAGTGATCCTGCGATGTAAACGTAGCATTATGTAAGTATCCATGGATCATCCCATAACTGCATATTAGGCATTTAAGGTGCTCAATAAAATCCCCGAGATGATCTGATCTAACAAACAAGATTTGACTTCATAGGTTCTATCAATCGATTGAAACAATTACCATGTTGATTGCTCTAAATTGGCAGAATCATACAGCTATCGTATCTGAGTCGTATTATCGAAAGTGAGATGTTAAAAAAGGCGTGATTGAAATGTTAAGACATATGGTGAGCATCGATCGTATAAGTTGTAAATCACTGTTGTGCTGTTTATTGTCACAATCATTTACCTTTTTTTGCCATTATATTTGCTGCTGAAACAATGATATGTAAACATGCTATGAACTAAGTTGTACATTGTGTTCATAATCATAAAAAGATGCACGAGACTTTTTTTGAAACAAAACAATACATCGGTATACTTCCATCACAGTGGTGTAATTTTTCCATTTCAGAGACACAACGTCTAATCATTAAAGTTTAGAACTTTAATGTCGTCCAAAATGCAGAATTTGCGTTTGAAAGTGTTGAGAAATTCGGCAAATATTACAGCAATACTCAGACATACGAAGACTCATCTAGTAATGGATCTGTTCACAGTGATTGTTTACAATGCAGTTTACATCTTATCTTCAATTCTTTTGTCTTCACTCTATTACTCCGCTACAACAATGAGAAATATTACACTGATTGCATAGAACTGAATCAGTCTGTTGCGTTCTTAAATCTTGAACAAGAAACGCGTTCATATTGTGATTGTTTAATGGTTATTTGACTTGCTTGTATTTTGCCTTCAACGATCAACACACTTAGATTTTGTGGCAAATTCACAAAATAGTGTGAAATGATTCGGAAATTTACGAAGGTATTGGTAAAAGTGATCATGATTACATGCAGATAAAGTGAATGCCGTTTATTACAGCTGTTCTTTCCGTGGAATTTCAATTCCACAGGATGATTTTCTCATGATTTTATGTTTTCCTTATTAGATATAAATGTTAAGAAGTCATCAGCTGTAATATACTTTACCTTTTAGAGAGATCAATCAGAAAGAAATAATTTTGTGTTAATTAGGCTGAACTGATTTCCTCTAATAACAATAGGCTACTGTGCAACGTTCATTATCAAATTCATTTCATTTGCTGTGTGCTTAATAGCATTTCAAGTTGTTTCCGATCATTTTATTGTTGAGCAGTTTAATATTACTCATAAATCGCCATCTTGCCACACACATGAATAGGATTAATGCACAAGATAGGATTAATGAACAGTATTAATGAATAGATTGATGTGTGATGACAGCAAACGTTGTCAGTGTAGGTGATCATTGAACTCTTTTACTCAATCAATCACTGACGATGTGATACCAACTTTTTGAGAATCTTTCATAAATGAAGTATTGAAACCTTCGATTGAACACTCTATTGTTGGCTGTTTGTTCATCACGAACGATCAAGAGCTCGTCAGTGAGTGCAAATGCAATTTTCACTTGTTCATTTGTTGCTAACCAATTCATATTAGTGATTTCAAGCGCATCCGCTTTTGAAGTAATTCAACCATGAAGTTTCTTCGTCACTGAAAAGCGCTCGAAAGCCTGTGAAGCCCCAAATCTGTGGAAGCCCCTGTTTTTCGGACCTGAGATTCCATCCGCATCATTTGAATGCATCCACTGGGCCGATGTCAAGCAATCATAAAGCCTCATTCATCATTAGGCGATAATTCGCAATCGTGAATCGTTGACTATAGCTAATTTGAATGATTGAAAAGAATGATGTTAGGGGAAGAAGAATGTAATATTTGTAATTTTGGTGATAACCGAGAGGCGTAAACTCGTAATGAGTGAAAATTGCTGATTAAATCAAATCGCATAAAGTAATCGTTGATTGAGTGTAGCGATTTTGAAAGATGACATATCAACCACATACAGCTCAGATCTTAAGTTATCACGAACACCCGACAACGAAGGTAACGAATTCAGCAAAGAAGCCATCATCACTATGACAACAATCAATAAGGATGCCCTCGTGGATGCGGCTCGGAAGGCCATGCAACGAGCCTACTGTCCGTATAGTAAATTCCAAGTTGGTGCCGCTTTATTGACCGAGAATGGTGTGATTATTACTGGTGGTGAGTTGAAGTTATCATTCATTTCATCACTCAGTGTCTGGGTTATTCTGCTATATACTATTTTACTGACAATGATTGCTAGCTGAAGGGGTTTTCAATGGGTAAGTGTGAGTTGAATAAATCATAGTAGTTTTTCGCGACTTTTGATTTCAACCTCTTATTGATAAAAGTAAATTTTGAAGTTAATATTGATTTGAGGTAATGTCGAAAGTGCGTCATATGGCTGTACGATATGCGCAGAACGAAGTGCTTTAGTTCGAGCTCTGGCCGAAGGTCATACGAGCTTCAAAGCTCTAGCCGTTTCAACTGCCATACCTGAACCAGCATCGTTGTGCGGTCCTTGTCGACAAATGCTCATCGAATTTGGTGATATGCACGTGTGTTTTGCATTATCTTCTAAATTCTATCCCCGAAATCTCGCTTTTCCTTCTTCATTTTGCTTATTTCCTCATAACGTAAGCTTGTAAACACTTCTTTGTGAAAATGAAAATCCAATCTCGCCGCTCTCTAGCACTCCCTTTCAACATCATCAATAGTAGACAAATTGGAAAACATCCGTTCAGCTTTCACCATCCATTCATCTATAGATTTCAGTTGCAATTTCAAAACATTTCTTCTAGTGAGGATGTTGTATGCACTTTCAGGTAATAATGGCATCGTCAACATCTGAAAAACGTGTCGAAATGATGCTCAGTGAGCTACTTCCAATGGCTTTCACACCCAAAACCCTCAACGAGCATTCGTCCGAATCGAAGAAATCAAGCTGAGATGAAGAGTCTTTATTGGTACTCAGTGTTTACTTCTACGTGCTAATTGATCAGTTTGTTAACTGCTCACCGCATAGTGAACAGTTTCGATCACTCTACACAATCAGTAGCAATAAATTATACCATAAAATTTGCGATCAGTAAAGTTGTTAACATAACAAGCAAAGTAAATTGTAATCGAAAATAGTTTATGTATCGCAGCTAACTTTTTACGAATATGAAAGCAATTTAATACCATTAATGTAAATGAATTAAAATTAAGTTTCGCCATAAAAACGCCTATAAAATAATGCATTTCGGTTTTTGTAAGGGATAATTCAAACACTGAATCGAAATAACGATTTGTGAGCATTGAAATGACAATAATGAAATTCTAATTGATGAATTATACTCCACGTAAATGAACTTCAATGAAAAATATGTGCACTGAAATTGTTGAAGAATTGAACTGATGCAAAATGAGCAATTATTTTCAGCAAATTTGAACATTGGTGACAAATAAACTTCAAGAGGAACCTCAAAATTTGTGGGGTCGCAAAGAAATGATAACATATCTGTGGAGATCAACAGCCTATTTATGATATAAACGAAATTGCTGTTATAAACAGTAATTTCGTTTAGATCATAAATGGATCGTTGATTACGGAATTTTACTATGCATTCGATTTTATTTTTCAAAACTATATATCTGATTTTGTTAAGACCGCACGAGATCTCTACTGAACGTAGGGAAGGGCTGACTAGCTTAAAATTCCTTTATACCCAACATTGTACGTAATTGAAAATTATCAGTGTGTTGAAAGGCATTCAAAAACGAAAGCCGTAGCGATGAAATGATAACGAATAATCATTTGTACAGCATTCGTTCAACAGCCACGTAAAACTTTTTGTTATCGCTCGTACGCCACCCGAAAGGTCCGAACTCACAATCACCACACATCAAACTCTTCAATCCGTCCACTGTTTGCCATCCAACCGTATCGAACAGAAACTCATTGTCCGTGAACCACCACAGATCCACTTTCTCTTTGAATTTACCTTTCGAACCTCCAACGCTCATTTCGCGCAGTTCATGAGGTTCACCTTAAAACAAAAAGAGTTTTGGACGTTATTGGAACTTGTTGATCGAAACTACTAACTATATGATCAATAATGCAAATTTTCTGTTACGATTGTGTTGCCAAATTTAACTGTTGGACACTTTCGACTGTTCAATGGGAGACAAACACAGGAAAGTGATGAACTCAAAATTCTCTCGATTGCTGCGCACCCGAAGGAAGAGCGATGATACAGTTATTAGAGCCGTTATCAAGCACTGAACTAACCTTTGAGCACCACTGCTTTTCTCGTTTCGAATACCAGGCTTTGACAGTGCCGGCAACGGATTGTTTTTGAATTTTTATTATCATCTCCCAAAAGAGGTTTCAAGTCGGTTTGTTCATTCTTTGTTGAACAATTCTCATTCACTAATGCTGGATTCACCGTGAACATTTTTGTGTAGACTGAAAAATTTTATGCTCCATTTCATCTCATACTAAACCCTATCACTGAAGTATTTATCCGGATCATCATAACATGCTTATACTGAAACAATAAGCTTTCTTTTGAATTTCTCATTCAGTCCCAGAATTTCGTTCGGATTGAGACATGCGCTCAGATCGATTAACCAACAATGCTAAATACCACTACAAAATACCAAAAAGTTGCCAACAAATCAGCAACTAACCACTCAAAAGCAGGACATTCACTGATGAACATCCACTCGATTCAGAATTTTCCATTCAGGTGATTGACTATGAGTCTTTCACTGCCGGAAATTTGCATCTCATTCATTTCGAATTCGCACACTCGCATTGACCGTCTCCGATCATGTTTTCATTTGACCGCCCTCATACAAAGGAAGAATCATTCTTTTCAGTCACAGAGCCAGACCCCTAGGCCATCTCTCACATTGCTAGAAACTTTTAGCAGCGATCTGTGAATATGTCCCCAAGGCCAATCGCTCTTATATTATGACCTTGAAACGTTCACGATGCTCTAAACCAGTGGTTCCTACGCTCGGGTGCTCCATTATCCTTTCCGATGGTCTGACAGGTCGTCATGAACAAAAATTGTACGACACACTTTCTATCAATTCATAATCTAGGAAAATCCGCAGTTCACGATCAATCTAATTCGAATTAGATTGTCTGACACCTTAAGACTTTATTTGACATGTTATTACAGATTATACGTTATGAAATCAATTTGAACATAGTTATACACATATACATTGCGATAAAATGTATTATTAACGATGTACATAACTTATGAAAATGGTACGATCTTATAAAATCTCGTAATAAGGAATCGTATTATGATCATGATGTTTGAAGAAGACGAATAAACGATCTTGATTAATTTGCATATGCTCTCTGATTAAGCAGATCCTTGAGCTGATTCGCCTGTGCCATTTGATTTAGACTGATGCAAGGATATACGTGAATTTCGTGAGCTGTCATTAGTGTCCGTGCTGCCGAGAACTTGAATTTGTTTGACATTATTATTATAGTTATCATCTTCAATATTCTTCGCCGTTTTCTGTGAACTGTTCTCATCGTTGAATGTCTGAAGATTAGCACAAAATTAGCACTATATAAGCATGGCATCTTTATAATATGTGAAAATTTATGACCGTAC